GTGGAAGTTTTTGCTTTTACAAATTGGAATAAATGTGAAGGTTGTTGAGGAAAAACGATATCTGTGGTTTATGATGCGTAATGCTAGAAATCTTGAACACATGCATACTTTTAAGGCAATGATAATGATATACTGACATCTTTAAATCGATCTTTAAAGCACATCTTACTCTTGCATTTATTGTTTTCAGGTGCGCCAGAGATTGATACTTCCACGGACAGTAGCCGTCTAGATGAATCCCGTTCACTTACGGAGCCACCCTGTCGAAGTCCTTCATTTCTGTGTCCGGATTCATCTTTATGCATTAAAGCAGCACAGATATGTGATGGAAACATGGACTGTCCTGGTGGAGCCGACGAGAACTGTGTGGAAAACTGTGCTTACGAGAGTGAGTAGTTACGAGCTGATTCGTCTGAGCTGTTATGTCGGTTTTGTGTTGTGCTTCATCAATTTAATTCCTTCTTCTGTAGCTGACTTCCTCTGCAAGGACCGAAGGAGCTGCATCTCCAGAAATCTGGTGTGCGACGGCCGCCCTCATTGCCACGACGGCTCAGACGAGGTCGACTGTCCGAGCGCAAACTCTCTTGCACCTCTGGCGAATGCGTTGAAGTGCCGCATGGGCTCGAGGCCATGCAGCGATGGCACGGAGTGTGTTCTGTACAGCCACGTATGTGACGGAGAGAACGACTGCATGGATGGATCTGACGAACAGGGATGCCGCGAGACCTGCAAGAAAGGTTGTTTCGCTCTAAACTCCTTAGATTTTGAATTGCTTTTTTTCTCCACCATAATATAAAAGAAATGTTGTTTCTACCCACTGTATTGCCACTTTTTGTGCTTTATCCTCTACATTCAAGTCTAACTCAATCAGTCTGTCTCCTGTAAATAAATTCTTTGACTGTACTCCATCACAGGTGAGTTTCAGTGCTTCCACGGGAAAATGTGCATCCCCGAGGCTCAGGTGTGCGACGGGAAGCCGCAGTGTCGGGACCGGTCCGATGAACTGAACTGCCGGGAACGATCCAAGAGCTGTGAGCATCGCTGTGCTGACGGCAACCGCTGCATCCCAAAGAAGTTCCTGTGTGATGGAGAGAGAGACTGCCCGGACGGCTCGGATGAAGCGGGCTGTGGTGAGTCCGCAGAGCTGCACCGTATTCCAGGATCCATTCATCCGTGATAGAAATAATGCACCCACTAATAAAAGGTTGAAAGCTGGGATTAGGGCTGTCCTGGTTGTCATTTTTGGAGGTTTAAAACTTCTGTGAGAACTACAGAGAGATGAGGACAAAAATACGACTACGGGAATTTTTAAATTACAGCCGAGCACATAAAAACAAATGTGTTCTCATAAATAGACCTTCAGCTAATATAACATGACAGCAGGTCACACTGACATCAGTCATGATAGAAAAAAGACAGTTTTAGCAGTGAAAAGACGTCTAACTTCATGCTTAGGTGTCATAGTGCAAATATCTGTGTCCTCTAGAACTGAATTTTTTGCAAATGTGGAAGCTTTTCTAGTTTCTTGACCCTGTAGACATCTATCTCGGTAGGTTGGACTCGTTTCATGGTCACGTGTTGCTCTAAAAGTCTCAGAGCTGTAACACCCAAAACTATCACTGAGAATAAATGTTCTCCTC